ACTATTTGGATAATATGACAGATACCTGTTATTAATGTAATAGTGATATTATCCTTATCTCATACTATTTGGATAATATGACAAATACCTGTTATTAATGTAGGATATTTTCCTATTTAAGGAAATTTTAATAAAATTACATAAATAATGAATAAATAACGGAAAAATTAAATGACATACCGCAGCATCACCACTACCAGCCATTGAATATTTGTTACTGTCGTTGGAAAAAGAAACAAAATAAATGTAAGAAGGATGGAATAATAATGTAATGAAGTGATGAGAAAGATAAAAAGAAGTAAAAATGAATCACTTCTAGAATTGGCTTGATTTGAATTTATATGCTTTTAAGCACACTCAAAAGCTTTGACAAGACAGCAGCCTAGTAGAAATAGCCAATATGTTTTTAGCTTTAGGCTTTAGTTGTTTGATTCGATCTTCATCTCTTTTTCTCATTTCCTCTACATACATACATACATACATACATACATACATACATACATACATGCATATATATACTGGCCTAGTTTTAAGGCCTGTTTAAAAATATTTGCAAAAAAGCCTTAAAGAGAAGAGTGTATAGCTATTCATTCGTTCTATGCTATGCTATGCTATACATATATATTTTATATACTTACTTTTATCATCGATTTTAATGTTCGCTAGAAATATCAGAAAGCTTTATACTTACTCTTTCATAAATAAATGCCTAAAGTTTTTAACGATTTTCTTACATACATCTTTCGTCTTCTTTTAATCTATTCCATCCATTTATTGAACTTTCATTCACTTTCCAATACATTCGCACCAAATTCTTCTCTCACATTAACTCCACTTCTTTTTTTTTTTTCAATAAAAATTTGAAATTTTCCTTTTCCCATTAAAAAAAATTTTTTTTTTCTGTTTGTTGTTTCCTTGAACATAAATGATAAGTAAACAATAAATGAAAATCTCATTATAATCATTTCTCGAAATTTAAGAGAAATTTGTGAAATTGAAAAGGAAACAACTACGCATTCATGATTAACATAATCGAATAACTACTACTTAACATTCCAAGATGTACATCTTCTCACATGATACCTAGCCATTGCATTCATCACATTGCTAATTTGCAGCGATGAAAACTATAAATCATTAACTTGGTGATAAGTTTTTTTCTCTCAGTTTATAATAACAAATCAAAATTAGAAGATCCGATCGCACTCAAATCTTTGAACATGTGAAAAATTGGCCATTTTCCTGATTTGCTTCCTGAGATGTAAGCATAATGAAAAAAAAGTGGCGAGTATTTTATTGTTAAAAAAATGTGTGACTTGAAGTCCAAAAAAAATACATAAACTATGAAAAAATTGGTCTATACACAACAACACATGGTAAAAACCTAGGATCATCATAATGCGAACAGACATAAAAAAAAAGATTGACAATGTGAACAAAATCTACATTGAAGAGATGCGTAGAAACAAACAATTAGAGGTCCAAAGCAGAAAATGGAACAATAATACATATTATTTTTTGTTAGAAATATTATAAACACCAAAAAATGCAAAACAAAGTCTAAGTCTGATATATTCTAAAATATTATTTTCACAATGAATGATCGGTTGCCAAACATCCAAACGAGCTGCAAATAATTTTAGGGACGCCTCGCAAGTTCCATTAAACTTCTTAAATAAATAACTTCTTTTTCGAGGCAATTCATTTCGGCCTTTAGTTCTATGTTGCGTAGCTCAAGCTTATGCAACTCCTCTTTTTTCTGTTTCGCTTCTTCACGACGTTTACCTACAAAAAATAAGATGAATTATTAAGCGGTTATAAAACAGCCGTTGCAAACTAAAATGTTAGATCCTATATAATGTCAGTTCCGTCAGCACCTGAAGTACTGCACTTTTAATAGCCTCAGGTTCTGATGATTAATAAAAGTGAATAAGTATATTTTGCAATTTACAGAAAATTATCAACTCCATAACAGTGAAACGTATACCATCTATGCCTACCTCTGTATCGAATGGCTGCACAACGGTTCTGTTCCCGTTTGCGCTCACTGATACCATCAAAACAGGTCCTATTCACTATAAATTTTTGCCCGTGGTCTGATGGCGGAACAGTACTGTTCTTCTGGTGAGCACTGCCATGCAAAACTTTTACAACACTTGAATGTGTTGTCTGAAAATTAAACATCCCTTCATTCTTAATAATAAAATCTTTCTTTTTCCGCAAACAGTTTGTGGCAAACATCCAACAACTAAATAACTGCTAATTCCAAAACAGACCCCTCCAACTACTTCGTGGTATGCAGAACGTTAATACATTTTACAAAAAGAGCAGGAAAAGTACAGGAAGTGCTAATAAGCAAAGTAAAGAGAGCTAACACAAATCATCCAGTATGCTTTATTCCCTATCGAATCATTAGCGAATGAGATATTTCGACTAGCGCTAAAAGTACAAACGTTAATGCGACATCACCTAGACATTCTTTGGATCTAAAGTTCCTGCTTGGATAAAGTATAAAATTCCTGACAAGACTAAAACACTTTTTTAAACGAAATTATAGTTCGATCTATTCTACCTTATCGTTATCTGCTATCACATCTTCAACAGTTTTTCGTACTGTGTTGGCTTTACAAACAGAAAACATATTTGTATTTGTATCAGCAGCAATAGAGACGTCAAGTGACGCCATCGAAACATTGTTCGGAATTATTGACGGTTGTATAACGCACTTCTAAACGATTCACAGTACAATTCTGACATAAATTAGGCGTGAGATGACAAAACTTTGAAGAAACAACAATTTCCTATTCTCTTATGTGACAATTTCCTATTCTCTTATGTGTGGGAAATGAAAATACACTAGCAAAATAGGACATAAATTTATCATCGAAAAAAAATCGAACAATAACAGAAAAACTGTCCTTTTTTTCCGAAACATATTAAAAGTGTCAGAAGAAATTATTAATGGGAACTTACATTGGTTAAAATCCCACCATTTTTCATCTCTCCCACAGGCGTTAGCACAGCAGCTGGTTGATTCTCTTTCGTCTGTGGTGTTGTAACCACTGTCATATCGATATTTTTCATGTTAAAATCATCGTTCGAATCTAAAGTGGTAATCCCATAAACATTCATGAATTCATTCAGCCACGAAATATCACTACCATCATAATAACTCGGTTTGCCACTTTCACTATCTAAACTGCATAAGAATTGTCCTTCGTCATTTTGTACTGCTGCTGACGTCAAAGATCGTTCCAGTACATCTTCCAAACCATTGCCGCCCAGTTCTGTTGAAAGCTTGGAAACGCTACTTGAACACCTGAACGTAAAACATTGAGAAATGTTTAGAATGATGAAAAAGAACCAAAGTAGTACTGATAATTGAACAGAACATCGATAAAGTTTCAGAAACCAGGGAAGATACCTAGAAGTAGCTTCAGAAGCACTATTATCATTGTAGCCTATGAAGCAATCAGGCAGTAAGTTGTCAACTTCTGGAGATGGGATGGCCCAGAAAGGCACCACGGAAAATTGATCCCCCATCATTGCTAACTGAAAGGAAAGATTATCAATCACGTAAGAATAAGAAACTTTTTCAATAAATAATTGTATTAATTTGTTCAAAACGGAGTATAATTAATAAATTTGCCCCTGTAGATTTAACAAAATTTAATTAAAAGCTAGCACTGATAGACCAACGCGACCATACTCGAAATGCAGTTATAATTCATGCGCATCTGAGTAAATCTAGCCGTTATTTATTGAGTTCCCCAAAAAAAATTGGGTCATACAAAAATTATATTTTAGTAAATTAAGCATTTGCATACTTGGTACACCTCTTTGCTTGCGGAAATATTTCAAAAGAGTTGTGAATGCAAAAGTGAATGGATCGAAAAGGTAGAGGAGAGCCATGTTGAACCTAAAATAGACAAGAATAAATGTTGCCATAAGTTATAACCATTAACCTCAATCAATACATAAATGTCAATAACTTTCGATATTATTAAACCGTCTCTTAGAATACAATCATCTATAACTGCTCATCAATCATACTTAATTCATTCCGTCTTAGAAATCAGCGCCTAAAATTGACAGATATTATAACAGACCTTTAACTATGCTACCTCGCATGTAAACAGTAAGCCGTCCATATATTCCACGTTATGGTGTCAAACTATGCACCCACGCTGCTTAATAAATTGATAGCTAACATATATTGTTACCTTCAAATCCCAGATGAGTATAAACTATAGTGGGTAAAAATACTTCCTATGCTTGGAAATGCAATTAATTAAGAAATAATGAAAAATAAATGAAAACTGACCAGCTTATTTGCTTTGTCCTCACAGTGATTGCGAGTAACTATTTAAGCACAGGAATTCATCATACTGCGTAATAAGTCGTCTTAACCTGAAATTGACGATATTATATGTAAAATTGACGATGCCATCTTGTACAGTTAACACTATGCAATGTCATCTTGTATACGTAAAGTTTGTTTATCAACATATTCTACTGAGGTAATAATATAAACATACGTATGTGTAAGTCATCAATAATTATAATTTCCATTGTTAAAATTTCTCCTCCTCAATTCAAATTGTTCAAGTATTATTTTACACTACCGTAACGGAATTCCTGTTATCATGTATCCACTAGTCAAATACGTACAACTAACACGTATGGACACGTACTCACACAGATTTCATCGCATGAACTAAGCAAAATTGTCACCGACACCAGGGAGACAGAAATCAGCCATTCCAGTAGGAAATGAAAACTTACACTCGCAGTGCGGAACTTGCACTGCGCTCACTGCGCCTGCCATAGCACCTCTAACTCTCCACTCTCATATCACACATCATGTGCTTGCACTCGCATACACACCCATGCGGACAGACAAACAGACAGACATACCAATACACCCATACATACAACAAATACGCACGTGTATAGACATACATATACATATAATAAATACACCTACGCGAACAGACACAGACCGAATACCGCCTGTTCTTAATAGCCTGCGAAATCGGTATGTGATTGATGGGCGCATTTTGGTTTACTACAATCAGTGATACGATGGCGCCGATGGATTTACGCAGAATTAACACATAGTCCTCATACTCGCTAATTGCAGTTTCTGTAAATCAACATAAAGATTTAATTTTCACGTTGTCTATCAATGAGAATTTAATTTCCACGTTGTCCACCAATGAAAGTTTAATCTTCACGTTGTCCATAAATGAGAATTTAATTTTCACGTCGTCCACCAATGAAAGTTTAATTTTCACGTCGTCCATCAATGAAAGTTTAATTTTCACGTTGTCCACTGATGAAAGTTTAGTTTTCACGTTGTCCACTAATGAAAGTTTAATTTTCACGTTGTCCATCAATCAGAATTTGACCTTTATGTTGTCTAAGTTTAGTTTCCACTCCCCCTAATTTGGTAACATCCATCAAGCTGAAAAGAAAATAATATACACAAAATAGTATACGCTGGTTTCTATCGCTGTAAATAATACACTACTTCTCCTATCCCTTTTTTCTCTTCCCCCTCTTCCATTTGCGTGCTTCTTCTCAATTCATAAAATTAATTCCAAAGGAACTGGCAAATTGGACACAAATCTCTCAAGATAGCATTTACTTACTTTTCCTCGTAATAATTCTGGTTATCAGAATGTTATTATTTTCTCCACCTCTTAGCCCTATCATCACTATCTCATCCCTTCCTTCTGTTATTATTATCTCCCCTCCTTTCTCTTCTTTCAATTTATGCTTATAATTATTCATGCGTATATATGCTTACATTTGTTATTCTCTCATACTTTTTCATGAACTATTTTCATTTAATGCAATTCTTCATTTAATGGAGCGTGCAGTATTGTTACTGATTATCAACTCTTACCTTTTAAGGGGAATTAATATACTGCGCAATAATGTTGCTGATTATCAGAGTCTTATTACTTTTTATTATTTAAGGAAATTGGTGAATGTCGAAATGAATTTTGATACTCATTATTGTACGTAATATATGCTTTTTTTACGTATTTTACTAAACTGAAAAAACTTAAAAGCTTACTTCCAGGAATATAAGAAATATGATTGAATAAGCAGGGAATGATGGCGAAATGTCATTTGCTGATCGCAAAGGAAATGATATCAGTGGAATATTTTACCTGTTAAAAATAGGTTAGCACCTAATTCACACTTATAGGTTATCCATATAACTCTTTAGAACAATCTATCTGCTTTTCTTTCAGCGTTGTTCATTCATGCTGCCTTCCTTCGTCCTCCTATCCTCCCCCTTACCTTATAACAATCTTTTTATACTTTATAGTGATATTATTTGGTGAAAAAAAATTGTGTCGTGAGAAATAATTCAAATTATTTCTCTATATGCACTTATACGATCTATACGATTTACTTTTACTTACCAGCATTGTATCATTTTGCATCTTTTTATGCTTGCACCGTTATGCATGTGCTCTTTTCCTCTTAGTAGGTACAAATTTTGCCTATGATAATCTCGCCATCAACATCAGCATCGCATTTCAAGAAAGTAAGTGAAGAAGGCATTGAAATATATTAGCTATTTGATGCTAGACAGTCCGTATTATCAAAAAACAGGAAGGTGAGATTAGATGAGTTTTGGTGGTTATTATCTGGAACCTATTTTATGGTTAAGTTATATGCCTATTTATTACGAGGAATACAAATTATGCAAAAAATGGATAACGAGCTTTATATACATATATATATACATATATATATATATATATATATATATACATGTATATATGTAGGTAATTTTCACCTTGCTTTTCAAGGCCTTTTATTCTTTCTAGTTCTTATTCATCTCAATCACATTTATTTTCTTTCCCATCGCTCATTTCGACATTCATGAATGCTTCTGGTTTTTTTTTTTCCTGTCTTTGTGTCATATGATTTGCAGTTCAACGTGACAATTTTAGAAATTTCATTATCATAATTCCGACTGAGTGAAATTATCATTTAGATGAAGCAGTTCAAAAATTTGAAAAAAGCAGTTTACATATGTATATATATAATATATTACAACAATAACAATAACAACAATTATTATTTTTATTGCTACTATTATTATTATTATTGTTATTATTATTATTATTATT